TGGTGGTGGTGCGACATGTTTGCGTTGGCTCGATAACGTTCAATCTTTTATGGTGTCGTATTCAACATCGAGTGAAGTGGCGATGTGTTCCTGTTCTCCGCCACACCTCTCCTTATGTTACACGTTGTCACGACGCTTCTGATGGAACTGAGACGTCAAAGAGGGTGCCTGTACGCACACGTGCGCGTACCTGCGTCAGCTGCTCCGGCGTCAGCTGCAACGAACAAGATGCAAGATGAAGAGGGCGGGGGGGGGAGGAGGGGGGAAGAGGGAGGAGGGGACATGAGTGGACCGAAGTACCAGGATGCACACACACATACACACGCACACACACACACACACACACACACACACACACACACACACACACACACACACACACACACACACACACACACACACACACACACCGTCTTGACGAGGAGCTGGATGGCGCCTGCGCCTGTAGCCTTGATGCGAGCAACCACCTCCTTCTGGGAGAGGAAGTACACAAGCTCGCCGTTGAGCGCAATAAACACATCGCCCACGTGCAGGCCCGCAACCTCCGCCGCACTCCCTTCATCGAGCGCCGTCACCGTCACTGGCGCATTGCCTGCGTCACACAACAATGGTCACACACACAGATACACAGACACAAAATGAAAGAAAAGAAGCAAATCACATGTGAGCAACGGGCGCACACGCATGCGTACATATGTGCGAGCTTGCATGTATGCACGTGTGTACATGCGTGTGTGTGTGCATGCGCCCACGCTTGCTTGCATTTTCATATGCGCGTGCATGTGCAGGTGGCACCGCCTCGATGACACAACATGGCCGCACCTTTGATCACGAAGCCAAAGCCATCTGGCCCGCGCTGGAGGGAAACGCAGCGCACGTTCGTGGTGAACTCGACCTGATGCGAGGAGAGCGCAGCAGGCCATGCGGTATGATGGAGCAAAGTGAGAGGAGGAGGGTTCACACGCAGGAGAGCGGGCAGCAGTGGCTCATGTTAGCGACACGTTGTCAATGATCCAATACAATGCAGCCCTCACAACAAGACCACCAGAAGTGTGCATGCGCACACACGCGCACATACGCAAGAACCATGCATGTCTTCTCTCGCTGGCGTGTTACATTACCGTGCCATCGCCGTCGCTTGAGGGTGAAGCGTCATCAGATGCCTGCAGTGGTGGCACTGGTGACGTTTGGGCAGGATGGTCTTGCACAGATGTTGTTGCTGTTGCTGTTGCTGTTGCTGCTGTTGTTGATGCGGTCTGTGTGGACGCTGGTGGTGCAATCACGCCGTCCACGTAACCATCGCCGTGTTCGCCTTGTGAGTGTTGTTGGTGTTGTTGCTCGGGTGTACTGGGCTTGGTGCCCACGCGAACTTCCTCGTCTTCGCCCCGCTCGCCACTGGCCTGCTGCTGTTTGCTGGTGCGAGCAAAGCGCTTGCGTATTGCGCTTGCCGCAAGCGAGAACGGCTTCTTAATCTTCTGCTTCTTTTGCAGCGTGTTGTCATCATCGCCACCATCACCTCCATCACCATCGCACCCTTGTGCTGTTGGCTGCGGGTCTGTGCTGCTCTCTGCACCCATGGCACCATCACGCCCATGGTCACCACCACCTTCGTCATCGTCGTCATCATTCAGCCAAACACTTCGCAACCTCACTGTGCGTGGCTCTGCCATGTTTCGTGGATCTCCTTCATATTGCTGCTGCTGCTGCTGCTGCTGCTGCTGCTGCTGTTGTTGTTGTTGTTGTTGTTGTTGTTGTTGTTGTTGTTGTTGTTGTTGTTGTTGTTGTTGTTGTTGTTGTCGACGTCGCGTTGCAGAGGCGGGTACGGCGTTGTGCGGGTTGAACGACGGCTGCTGCTGATGCTGCGCCATGTGTGGCGATGGCTGTCGCTGCTGCCGCATGTGCTGTGCATTGGCGGGCCCTCGAGCGCGCACGTGTGTGTTTGGCGGCATCCCTCGCATCGCCACTGTTGGTCCGTCACGACCCCGCCCCTGTGCTGGGGGCGGCGGTCGAGTGTGCTGCTGCAAGCGCTGGTGATGCTGGGACCGCAGGTGTGGCCGTGGTGGCCTCATGTTGGGGTAGGTGGGTGCTGCTGGTCTTGCCTGCTGCCGCAGCAGCTGTGGCTGACGCACTGAACGTTGTTGTCGTTCCTGCTGCTGGTAGTGGGGCTGGTGAAGAGGATTTGCGCGCGCCCTGAGTGTTCCTGCCTTCGCTGGTGGAGATTGCACTGCCGAAGCAACAAACTGCTGCTGCTGCTGCTGCTGCTGCTGCTGCTGCTGCTGCTGTTGTTGTTGTTGTTGTTGTTGTTGTTGTTGTTGTTGTTGTTGTTGTTGTTGTTGTTGTTGTTGTTGTTGTTGTTGTTGTTGTTGTTGTTGTTGTTGTTGTTGTTGTTGTTGTGGGTGGTGCGTAGCAGGTGGCTGAAGTGCTGGATCATCCACATACCCAGACGTCAGCCCTTCCTTCTTCTTCGTCTCCGCGTGCAGTGCTGGATCATCCACATACCCAGACGTCAGCCCTTCCTTCTTCTTCGTCTCCGCGTGCAGTGCTGGATCATCCACATACCCAGACGTCAGCCCTTCCTTCTTCTTCGTCTCCGCGTGCAGTGCTGGATCATCCACATACCCAGACGTCAGCCCTCCCTTCTCCTTCGTCTCCGCATGCAGTGCTGGATCATCCACGTACCCAGACGTCAGCCCTTCCTTCTCCTTCGTCTCCGCATGCAGTGCTGGATCATCCACATACCCAGACGTCAGCCCTCCCTTCTTCTTCTTCGTCTCCGCGTGCAGTGCTGGATCATCCACATACCCAGACGTCAGCCCTCCCTTCTTCTTCTTCGTCTCCGCGTGCAGTGCTGGATCATCCACATACCCAGACGTCAGCTCTTCCTTCTTCTTCGTCTCCGCGTGCAGTGCTGGATCATCCACGTACCCAGACGTCAGGCCTTCCTTGTTCACCTCTCCATCGCCATCATCCTCGCACAAGGACGGATCATCCACATACCCAGATGCCCCGACCTGCAGTCCCGCCATTCCCTCGCCCGTATCGCCACCCCCGTCGCAAGTAGTCATTGCGCTCACGTGCTCGTCGCCAGGGGCAACCACACCACTGCTGTACGCTGCGTTTGCGCGCATCTTGATGTCTGGCGCGCCAACGACGCCGTTCGAGAACGACGCGAACGTGTGTGCATATGTGAGCGCGTCGATGGCAGAGAGGATGGAGGCCACGTGTTTTGCGGCAGGCCGGTGGGCGGGGCCAGGCGCCCAGCATGACGTCATCACCTATCAAAACCATGTGGGGGGGGGACGCATCGTCAACGACAGACACGGGTGCAGCTGCGCCTGTCTATGCCTCACACTCTCCCCTCCCCCCTCCCCCCTTTTCACCTGCTTCCTGCACTGACGCCTTCCTGCACCAAGCCGGCCCTGCGTTAACGACTCTTCAACAACCAACCAACCAACCAACCAACCAACCAACCAACCAACCAACCAACCAACCAACCAACCAACCAACCAACCAACCAACCAACCAACCAACCAACCAACCAATACCCTCCATCTCCTTCTCATTTTCTGTCCTCCACAAGTGTCGCACCTCAAAGACCTGCTCCGGACACGCTTCGGGACGCTCGAGTGTGCTGCCACTGGAAATAAGGTCCACAACTTCCTCGTCTGTCGTTCCCGTCCACGGCTCCCGCGCAAACGACAGCACCTCTGCACATGCAGCGAGTGGTGGCGGTGGTAGTGGAAGTGGTGGTGAAGGTGAGAAGTAAGAGGTTTTGTGGCTCTGCATGTGAGTGAAAGAAGAAGGAAGCACGGTACACAGGCGAGTGAGCATGTGCATGAAAAACGCATCCACATAAGAGCGTGCACACATACGCACCCCACATGGTGACGCCCAGCATCCAGACGTTTGATGCGGGTTCGAGTGTGTGTGTTTGCAGTGTTTCCGGTGCCTGCAACAGCGCACGGTATGAAGGGACGGTGGGCGGGTGCAGTGGATGGCATGGAATGCGAAGGGAGGGGGGATGGGTGAAAAACCAGGAACGTGGCGTGCTGTGTGAAGTCGTGTCCAACCCACACAAGTCTCACAAAGCACACACACACACACACACACACACACACACACACACACACACACACACACACACACACACACACACACACACACACACACACACACACACACACGTTGTACAATGCGCACGTGCTGTACATACCAGCCAGCGGAGTGGCACTTGCGTGCCGTTGAACTCGGCGTAGTTCTGTGGACACGTGGCAGGCCCCGTGCCCAGGTTGCACAGCTTCACATGCAGTTTGCTGGTGATGAAGAACGCAGCTGCACTCACATCTGGTGATGGGTTTGCGCACGCAAAAAGGGCAAGGGAGGGCGTGGGGCAAGGGAAGTGAATCAAAATAAAGCACCAAACTTTAACACTTCAGTGCGCACCAAAGATGGAAGCTCAAGGAAGGTTTCACACACACACACACACACACACACACACACACACACACACACACACACACACACACACACACACACACACACACACACACACACACACACACACACACGCACACGCACGCACACACGCACACTCACTCTCTCACAAACAATCACCTTCTCACAAACAAGCGCGCACTTAATCAAAATCACACACACGCACACACACGCAAACACACTCACTCTCTCACAAACAAACGCACATTCAAACAAACACACAAACACGCATGAGCGTACCGTCAGCGGTGACCCCTTGTGAGTGGAGGTATGCGACGGCCTTGCAGCAGGCGAGGCAGATTTGGATCTGCTCGTTGACGCTGATGCTGGCCTGTTCTTCGTGATCTGGGTCACTGCGGCTGATGCGCAAGAAGTGGTGCAGGGTGCCGCGGAACACATTTTCCAAGGCGGCAAAGCCCGGCGACGCGGCCACTGCACAGCCGATGACGCGAACAAGCGCAGGCTGCGCTGTGCTGGCTGCGCAAGCGACGCGCTGGCGGAACGCGTCTGCGTCCTCCTCCCGCTCCTGCAGGACGAGCAGCGCCGTCTGTGCACCGTACTTGTGGGGCGCTGTGATCTCCGCCTCCAGCACGGGCCCAAACGTGCCCTGGCCAACCTCGCGCACGACGGTGAGGTCGCTCCGGTTCATCGCTGGCAGCTCAACGGAGGGCGAGGAGGCAGAGGAGGAGGTTGACTGTGGGGGCGGTGTCGACGCCGCTGGTGACGACAGGCTCTCATCGATGCTGCTGCTGCTCACATAGTGTTTGTTTTCTGTCATCATCATGCCTCTGGACCTTGGCTTCTTCTTCTTCTTCTTCTCCCCATCACCACCACCATTGATGGCTGGTGGTATGGGTGGCCCGCCTGGCCGCGCCTGCTTCTGGCCCATCGTCGTGCGTGCGCGTGCGTGTGTGTGTGTGTGCAGGGTGAAGGGTGAACAAGGAGCGAGCTGGAGGAGTGGTCTTGTCTCTGTTGCAGCTGTGAGCTGGATGTTGTTGTTCTTCCTTCTCCTCTTCCGCCAACTCCTGCCAGATTTTGCCGAGTCAGCAACAACTGTTAAAAGTGCAACGAATTCCCAGCACTGCCTCCGCGACGGTTGTAGATTATTGTTGGGAGATACCGGCAACTATTCTCTTTTCGCTGTTTGTTTTTTGTTGTTCCACACACCTCTCTCTCTCCTCTCTCTCTTCTGGTGTTCAACTCGCTCGCTCGCCCAACAACAACAAACAACAGCACACACACACCGCAAAAGAAGCAACATCAAAGGCAACAGCAAGGTAAGACCTCCTCCCTCCACCATGCCCAGCTGGCTGGCCGGCTGGTTGGTTGTCAGTATGGCAGCCGATGGCAGTGCGCAGGGGGTGACGACGGTGCTGTTCAATGCCTTTGTCTGGTTTCGGTGGTTTGACGCACCAAACATGGCATGTTCTCGAGCGAACAAAACGCCATCAACCACTCTGCTTGACCCAGCCGCATTCCTTTTGTCTGGCTCGCTCGTCAGTTTTTTTTTTTCTCTCTCTCTCCTCTTGATGTGGTTGTCGTCGCCTACCTTGTCTTGCTTGCTTTGCTTGTCCATCTCTCTGTCTGTCTGTCTGTGGCCTCTCTTCCACACGCGCACGCCTTTGTTCCATTAGCTTCCGTGGCGTGGACAAACACTCAAACCCGCACGCACATCACACACACACACACGCACACACGCACACACACAAACACACACTCTCTCTCTTCTGTCCCTTCCTGTTTTGTGCAAAGCAGCGGTACGGTTGTTCGTTTGTGTGCGTGCACTGCATTCCAATAGGTTTCGGTTGGTGTGTGGTGGTGGGCGTGCGATCGATTGGGGGGCCAAGGGCGAATCGGGTGGGGGGAAAAACTGGCAGCCAACACAAACAACCACCCCCGTCCGTGTTGATGTGTTTGCACTCCTCTCCTGCCGACACTCATTTCTTGCACCACAGTCAACGCTTTGACTTCTCTTTCCGCCACCTCCTCGCCACCTCCTCTCCACCACTCTCCCCCATATCACGCACCACCATCACTGATCACCCACACGCTGGTTGATTGATTGGTTGGTTGGTTGATTGATTACTCACACATTGTTCTCCACCACCACCACCACCACCCCCACCCCTTGGTGATCCACCATCCATCGCACCATCGTTTTCGGGACTGCCCTTTCGTTGTGGTGTACATCCCTCTCCTCAACCACAACTGCGCATACCAACTCGCCGCCAACCGTCCACGCACACACACGAACCAACCAACCCGACCCGCGTTCGGCCTTCCCTTTTGACTTCGTGATGCTGCCTGCTCACGGCGTGCGTATTAAACACACGGCCGCGTCTCTGCACGACAGGTATCGCGAGCGATCCACCTCGAAGCGCGCCGCCGCCACATCCACAGCCGCAGACCTTCCCCTTCCTCAGGGCACAACTCGAACCATCATGGACGACGACAGCAGGCGTCGCACCACATCCTTTGTTGACCCTGCTGAGATGCAGGAAGGCAACGACAAGTACGACCCACTCACAGGCGCAATGGACGGCATGAACGTCAACGGTGCGTTTGTTCCTGTGCATGATTATTTGTGTCTGTGTGTGTCGGTGTTGTGGTTGGTTGTGTGATAATGTGCGTTTGTGTTTGTTTGTTAGTTTATGTGCTTGCATGCATGATTGCGTGTATGTCTGTGTTGTCTGTGGTTTGATGTTGTTGTTGTTGTTGTTGTTGTTGTTGTTGTTGTTGTTGTTGTTGTTGTTGTTGCAGTTGTTTGTGTGCTGCGTCTGTGTCTCTCGAACTTCCGCGTCGCCGCTGGCGTTCGACGTGTGCGCATCACATTGACACATGATGTGTGTTGGTTGGCGCTGGTGGGGTTGGTGCATGCAGGCACGATGACGAAGGTGCGTGCCATGCGCGGGCCTTCGCGCCGCGCAATTGAAGAGGAGATCCAATACGGCGACCTCTCTGTTGTCGGCAACGGCTCCTTTGGCGTCGTCTTCAAGACAAAGATGATCGACAGTAAAGGCACACACAACGTCGCCCTCAAGAAGGTCTTGCAAGACCGCCGATACAAGGTGTGCGAATTGGGTTTGTGCGTGGCGTGTGTCTGTATGTATGTATGTATGTATGTACGTATGTATGTATGTGTATGTGTCTGGTTCTGGTTCTGTGTGTGTATGTATGTATGTATGTATGTGTCTGTTTCTGTGTGTGTGTGTGTGTGTGTGCGTGTGTGTTCCTGTCTGTGGGTGTGAGTCCCTTGCCCGTCCGTGCCATACGTCCTCCTCCAACCCACCCCTCACCGTGTCCACGCCTTGCTGCATCTCTGTGCGATCAGAACCGCGAGCTTGAGATTATGCGGGAGGTTGGCCACCGCAACATTGTCGAGCTCAAGTGGTTCTTCTTCACCCCGGGTGCCAAGGTGTGCACACGCTTCCCAGTTGTTTCACGACCGTGCCTTTGTGTCTGTGTTGTAAGGGTGTGCATGTGTGCACGTGGACGCCATGATGCTGTTGTGCTGCTCTCTTCTGTGTGTGTGTGTGTGTGTCAATCCCCCCCCCCCACCAAATCGCTTATTGCTCATTGCTCACCACTTTGCCACCACCCACCTACCCACCACCACCACCTCCGTGCATGCATGCATGCATTCAAACAGAACGACACATATCTGAACCTGGTGATGGAGTTTATGCCCACGTCCCTGGGCCAGTTCTCGGACGGGTACTGCAAGCGCAAGATGCAGATGCCCGCATTCTACGTCAAGGTTACAACAGAGACAATGATGCTTGTCGTGCACAGACACGTGCACGTTTCACGTCGCTTGTCATGGATGTGGCTTGTCTTGCATGTTGTGTGCTTGGTGGATGTGTCGGCAAAGCTGTGTGACCAATGTGTGCGTCCAACAATACTTTCATTCCATACTCACCTCTCCGCACCATTTCTCCTCCCTTCCTCCCTCGCCATGCTTCATGTTGCTGTGCACAGCTGTCTGTGTACCAGATGTTCCGTGCACTTGCGTACCTGCACGGGCGTGGCATCTGTCACCGCGACATCAAGCCCCAAAACCTCCTCCTCAACGTCAGCGCCGGCGTCCTCAAGCTCTGCGACTTTGGATGGTCAGTCAGAATTGTCTTGTGTTGTGCGCGCGCGCGTGTGTGTGAGTTGTGTGTGTGTGTGAGTTGTGTGTGTGTGGGTGCGCGCGTGTGTGTCAGCTTGTGCCGGCCGTGCCATCACGCCCCTTTCCCTCACTTACGCCGTCTCTCCCCCCCCTACTTCTCCAATGACATTGACACACACCAACAGTGCCAAGCAGCTGCACTCTGACCAGCCGAATGTGTCGTACATCTGCTCGCGCTACTACCGCGCACCAGAGCTCTGCATTGGCGCCTCTTTCTACAGCACAGCCATCGGTCTGTTTCGTTTCGTCCTCAGCGCCCTTTTTTTGTGTGTGTTCGTGTATGTTCGTGTATGTGGGTACGTGCTTACGTCTCTACGCCTATTCACCACTCTTCTGCCATCTTTCGCTTTTGTGTGTATGAACAGATGTGTGGAGTGGCGCATGCGTGATGGCGGAGCTGCTGATGAACAGACCCATCTTCAGAGGAACAAAGAGCTCAGATCAGATGGAGAAGATCATGAGGGTGAGTCATCCCGTGCTGCGCCGTTTGTTGCAACTCTATCAATCTTGTTGCCTGTGTCTCTGGCTTGCGGGGTTTACGTGTCCTGAACACCCTTGCACTGTCTTCTTCCTTTGCTTCTGCGTTCTCCGTGCTCACACGGCTAGCCACCACCACCTCCTCCTCCTCTTCACCCTCCTCCTCATCGTCGTCATCGTCGTCTGCTGCGCTGCAGGTGCTTGGTGCGCCCTCGTCCACGGAGCTGCGCGCAATGAACCCGGAGTTCCGCGGCTCCCTCTCCTCCCCGCGCACCACCTCCCTTGAAGACGTGCGTGGTATTGCGTGGCGGTGTCTGTCTGTGTGTCTGTCTGTGTGTCCCTGTGCCTCTTTTCCTGTTGCCATTGCATGCCTGTGTCTGTCTACCTCCTCACCATCCCTCTTGCACATCCCCGCCCGAAAAACCCAAAAAAACAATCCCTCTGCAGCTGCTGCGCGTGCGCCCCTCCGCCGAGCGCGCCGTCGAGATTGACCTCCTCAAGAAGTACGTATGCACACGCACGTAGCTGCACATACACACGCACACGCATGAGTCCTCCTCATCCATTTGCTCGCCATTGTTGGTATCATTCATTGACTCACCCCTCCACCAACACACTCACGCCACCTGGTATCGTCTTCTGCGTGCACGCTTATTGCAGGACGTTTGCGTATGTGCCGAAGAAGCGGCCCACGTCGATTGAGGTGCTCGCGCACCCGTTCTTTGACGAGCTGCGCGACCCCAAGACGTCCCTGCCAAACGGCAACCCGCTCCCAGAACTCTTCGACTTCACCCCAGAAGGTGCCATCGCCGTGTGTGTGTGTGTGTGTGTGTGTGTGTGTGTGTGTGTGTGTGTGTGTGTGTGTGTGTGTGCTTGCTTTCTTCCCCTTTTGCTCTCGTGCACCCTCGTCAATCGCCTTTGCACGCGTATTGCGTTCTTCAAGCACAACGTCACCACGCGCTCACGACCTTCCACGCCCGCCGCTGCTTTCGTTGTTTCTTGCAGAGCTGGCCCTGTCTCCCGGCATTGAGAAGCGACTGAAGCCCAAGGCTTAAACCACCACCACCACCACCCCCACCCCCCCCCCTTTCGCCCTCCCCTCCTCCCTTCCCTCCTCTTCCTCTCGTCTCTCGTTCCTCTCCTCACCCTCGCCATGAGGTGATGAAAAGGCAGATGAGTGCGCGCGTGTTATTCCGCCCGCTCCCCTCCCCCCTTGACTCACTTCCCCTTTTTCTGTTCCTCTCTTTCGCCCACCTTGCTTTTTGCACTTTTTTTTTTCTTTCTTCGTTCTTTCTTTGTTCTTCTGTTCACCTTTTCTGTCTCCTTCTCCTTCGTTGCGTTGTTTCCTTTGTGTCCACACGCATACACCCATTCACGCAAATATGACAACGTCACGCACCACCACCTCTGCCACGCCGGCATGTGCCTCTTCTTCTTCTTCGTCTCTTGTTCTCCATTGCTGTACACGTTTGCTGCTGCACCTTGTCCCTGCAGTCTTTTCTTTTTTCTGTTGGCTGTTGCGATTCGGCAAGCGCCGTGGCTTTTTCGCTTCATTTCGCTGCTGCTCGTTCATCCATCCATTCCCCCCTTTGTGTAGACCCGTTTACTCTTGTTGTGCACGTGTGTGTGTGTGTGTGTGTGTGTGTGTGTGTGTGTGTGTGTGTGTGTGTGTGTGTTTGTTGTGAGGGGAGAATGCAGGAGAGTCTGTGCGCATGTGTGCTACCTGAAGTCCGCAAGAGAAAGTGACCAACCCAATCAAACTTTGGAGGTGATGCTGAGAGACGTGTGTAACGAGAAAGTAGGGCTTAACGATGCATGATGTATGTAATGTGATGATGAATGCATGGCGATTTCCATCCATCACGACAACAGAAGTGGCGACGATGGTTCGCATGGTTCCACGTCCAGCTGGTTGAGGGATGCGGTGAGGTGGAGTTTCCAGTTGGAACCCTGCGTGTTGCCACACTTGCGGTACGTCACCGTGGTGTTACACGATGTGTCTGGCAACGACTGCCCCAGCCCTGCCAGCGTCACCGTAACCCCAACCCCCAGTTTCGTAGGTGCCTGTGTGTGTGTGTGTGTGTGTGTGTGTGTGTGTGTGTGTGTGTGTGTGTGTGTGTGTGTGTGTGTGTGTGTGTGTGTGTGTGTGTGTGTGTGTGTGTGTGTGTGTGTGTCGAAATTTAATTTCCTAATTTTATTACGTTCCTCATCTTGCTCTGCCGCCTGGTGCTGTCCCGGAGCGTGAGGATTTTTTTAGTGTATTGGCTGGATATTTGAGGCATATCTCCCCCACCTCGAAGCCCGAACTGAATTAATTTAGTCAGAAACTTATTTCTATATTCATAGCCCTGCTCTTGCCTGAGATTCAACATTGGTTGCTCAAAGCAAGTAAATTGAGATCTTGCCAGGGACGTCATGCC